AGCTAGTTCCAGGATAGCCTCCAAAGCCACAGAGAAACCCTGTCTCGAAAAACAAAATAAATAAATAAATAAATAAATAAAATAAATTTCCTTTTTACCTTGTAATTCTGTTATCTCTGTTAGTTGTGGTCAATTTGTATTGAATTTTCCCCCCATGGATTATAATGTCTTGCTTTTGGATTCTAGATACCTTTATATTCTTACATATCCTATAAGATTCCTGAACTTGTAAGATGTATTTAAGATTTGTGAAGCTAGACCCAGAGAAAGGTGTAGCCTAGGATAATTTTTCTCATTAGTAGCTAAATGACATTTGGGGGACAAACAATTATTTTGTTTCTAGAGAGAGGATTCCAGTACACCATAGTTTTCTTGACCAGGTCTCTTTATGTAACTCTGGCTGGTCTGGAACTTGTCAGGGTGTTCTGTGATGCATGGGTAGGTTGACGAAAGAGGTTACTCCAAGATGAAATTTTAAGGCCCGAGTGGCAACAGAAAGGTTCAACCTCTGATGAACTGAACCCTGAACAGCTGAACAAAGGCATATTTATTGATTGTTACACATCAAGGTCCTATCTAATCTATAAGTCTCTCTAAAGGAGAGCATCACGTGCCCTCATGACTTTAGTCCTTTATTGTGTACCGTTACAGTACACAATAATCTAAGAGCCTCAGGTGTGCCATAGGTGTCTTGTGACCAAAGTCATTCAAAGCCTGCAATGCCCTTTCAGAAAAGCAATTCTTAAATCACAAAAAATGATCGCTGTTTTCCACGAAAATTCTTTACTGTTTTCCACAATGATTCTATAAGGTCAAAGTACTTCTAGAAAACAACTATTCACCCTAATGTTTAGATAATGTCTTAGATAAAGTGAAAACTATTCATTCTAATGTCTACCCCAGATACAGAGGCTCTACTAAATTCTTACAACAGGAACTTGCTATATGGACCAAGCTGGCCTTGAACTCCCTGAGATCCATTTGCCTCTGTCCTGTAAGATTAAAGCATATGCCACCACTATTTCTGACAGATTTTGTTTTGTTTTTTGAGACAGGGTTTCTCTGTAGCTTTGGACCCTGTCCTGAAACTGTAGACCACCCAGCTAGATTTGATTTTTTTGGGGGGGGGGATGGGGGAGTGTCGTACAAGTTATCACTGACCAAAGCAACTTGAGGGAGGGAAAGGAAGGGTTTATTTGGCTTATTTTTCCACATCACTGTTTATCACTAAAGGAAGTCAGGACAGGAACCTGGAGGCAGGAGATGATGCAGAGTCCATGGAGGATTGCTGCTTCCTGACTTGCTCATCACAGCTTGCTCAATTTTTTTTCTTATAGAACCCCAGGGTCATCAGCCCAGGGATGACCCCACTCACAATGGGCTAGGCATGGTGGTGCATGCCTTTAATACCCGCATTCAGGAGAGAGGGACAGAGAAAGGAAGGGAGGGAGAACGGGGAGAGGGGGTGGGAAGAAAGAAAGAAAGAAAGAAAGAAAGAAAGAAAGAAAGAAAGAAAGAAAGGAAGGAAGGAAAGAAAGAGATGCTCTACAGGCTTTCCTACAGCTTAGTCTTATGCATTTTCTCAATCAGGGTTTCCTCCTCTCAGATGACCCAAGCATGTGTCAAGTTAGATAAAATTAGACAGCACAGAGAGTCTCACTATGTAGTCCCTGATAAATTCTCTTTGTTTAGTCCACTCTGGCCTTGAACTTGTTTTGGCCTCCAGAGTGCTGAGGTTATAGGTATGTACAACCACAGCTGAGAGTGTTATAGGATTTTTACCAGAATCCCTGGTGGTCTACTTCCTATGTGCTAGTAATCCCCCTTTCCAAGTGGTGACAATGAAGAATACATCCCCATACTATTGACTATCCCTGGAAAGTGAGGGGAATTAGCCTTAGTTGAGAACTATGGTTTTGGATTTGATTTTGCCCCACGGCTGTTGTGTGTTCTTCAAAAGTCCCATGAATTGTGAACTGTTGGTTAATCTGATTGGAATTGGCTTTTTTTTTTTTTTTTTTTTTTTTTTTCCCCGGGGGAGGTTGGGAATCCTTTTTGGATGGTCTCTTCTCCATCTTGACACATGCATGTTCTGATGAGTATTCAAGGGAGACCCTCTGTGTATCTCTGCAGTTCTCCATTTGAGTGTCTCTGTAGTATTCAGCCCTATAAATCCAGCCACCTTGATCAGCTCAGCTCAGCTCAGCTTATCTGCCAGGCTCACCTAGGTTTCATGTCTTATACCTCTCCTGGCCAAAAAGTTTTCAAGGCATTAAGCTGAAGTAATATGAACCCACCTCCTTTGCTTACTGTCTCTCAGGAATTTGGCTGATGTCTATCATTTTGAATCTTTTTCATGTATTTTATTTATCAATTAATTCAAATCAAAGAGTAAAATTTGTTCTATTTTTATATCTTGGCCAGAAGCAGTAGTTCTACTGACAATTCATATGAATCGGTTATTAGTTAAAATGGAAAGCATCCTTGAACCTTTACTGACCAAAATTCATTTTATTGATTTGTATAAAACCAGTGTCTGTCATATTTGTTGTTCAAAGTTTTCTGTTCCCTGGAATTCCTGTAGTACAACATGACTATTAAATGGACCTTGATGCTTACTGTCATTTTTAATATTCCTCTTTAATACAAGTTCTCACAGTTGGAGCTAAGTACTGGTTACTGTGGCTCTGTAACTATTATGTAGTAGCACACAATTAAAGGACGTGTACTAGCCTGATGACGCAGAGCAATGAAATGTGTCATGCTTTTAAGGCATTCCCACAGCAAGCTCAAAGGCTTCTAGGAGGCTTCTGTGTTATAACTCCTGTTGTCTAGTGGCTAAAGCAGGGGCATCAAAGCCAGTTAGCTTGATTGAAGTGGGAAGAACTGGTGAGTTAATATGGGGAAGAAATGTAAAAGAGAAGAATCCTTTTGCTCAGAGTATGAGATGAAACTGTACTAAAGAATAATGCTCCAAGCATGGGAGTGACTTGGAACCCGCCGGTGGTAAGCTATTAGGGAAGGGGGAATGTAGAAGAATCGAGATAAAGTGGAGAATTTTATTTGTCATGGATGAGGTTTGCTTCTTGGTAACTATTGTTGAGTTTATAGAATGTCTTGTTAGGTATCCAAGTTTGATGATTTAGTCAGAGCATACCTGGGGGAAAGGAAGATAACAGGCATAGCAGAAAGGCTGAAACCATTTAGTAATGAATGAAGTAAACTCAAACATTCTAAAACCATAGTTTAATAGAATTTTACATATGCTACATGTAACTTTGCAGCAGACTAAAAACACAAACTCCTTGTAGATGGATAGATAAGATGTTAATTTTCTAAGATTGGGAAAAAATGTGGGTTGATAATGATATACACTTTAAGCTTTCTAAAAAATGAAGTTTTTTTTTTAGTATCAAGACAGAATCCTTAATGATGGACATTTGCATCTTTGGATGAATTTCAGCTCTATTTCCTGAATACTTTTGAACATTGAGTGAGCTTATTAGTTAAGATATCTGCTTTTGTTCAGTGATGTTAAGTCTTTATGACAAGTGTTTGTGTGGGAAGGAAAGGCTATGTAACATCACCTATCTTTCACTTTCCTTAGCCTAAAGAAGCTGGGAAATTTTTCTTACTCCAGAATGTGTGTACTATGAAGCCATGTGCTTAAATCGGGAGACCAAGTCATCTGGGGGGGGGGGGGAAGGATGCCATGTCAAACATTGTAGAGAACCTTTGTCCTAAGAAGCATATATCTCTTATCTTCCCAGAATGTTTTGCTGCAACTGTTTTTTTTTTTTTAAAGCTAGATATTTATCGCATCATTGTGGATTAAAAGAAAAAAAAAAAAAAAACACCTTTCAAGGGTTAGTAGGAACACCTGTCCTGTTTTTAAACATCATTCAGAAGGAAATATAGTGACTTATTAGAAATCCAGAAAACCTACAGGCTTTAGCAGGCAAAGAAGTAGATACATGAGAAGTAGTTTTTGTTATCCTTTGTTTTTCTATATTAGCCTTTGTTATCTATATATCTGATACACTTTATAAACTTGAAATAGTCCCAGGTTTGACAAAAGAAAAAGAACATAAATAGCCAAGTAGGACCAAAATAGCAAAAAATATGAGTACTTTTAAAAACAGTACACTAAGTAGGCTTTTTATAACTATAATCTGAATCTTGCTTCATATGTATGAGTATATTGAAATGACAATTTTCTTTTAAGACTTTGAACACTAACTCCCAGAAGTGCCTTTTCATTCTGCAGTGGGACTTTCAAGGGCTAGTAGGAATTTAGTCCAGTTCATAGCTATTTTAAAATCTTTTTATCTGTTGGCTAAATTATTCCATATATAGTAGATAGAAATATACTAATCTAAAGTTGTGTGTTCTTTTCCACCTCAAGTGGGGGAAAATTTTTCCTATGAATGCAACAATTTCAGAGATTTAATTTTTCTCATATTTATTTTGTAGATTTCATTTTATAAAAGGTATTAAAATGGGATTTTTTTTTCCTCCTCCATTGTTCTCTCAAAAGTAATCTTTTGAAATGATCGTTGTTGACATGCTGTGGAAATGCCATTTGTAAAATACCTTTCTCTAAAGTGTTAAAGTTGGGATGTAGTTCAGGGTAGATCACTTGCCTTTTCCTGTGTGAGTCTTGGGTTCAACAATGTCCTCCATAAAACCAAAACAGCCGCCATCAGCCTCTTAAAGTTATTAGAATGTTAATTTGTTGAAATCACTGTTAACTGTGAATAACTTTTGTTTCTTTGATTATGGAAGCCACTGGGGGCAGTATAGGTACTTTATTGTTTTTGGTATGTGTATTTGCATTTGGTCTTGAATGAAGATGTTGAAATACATTAAAGTTTTTGTTTTGTTTTCCTTTTCCCTTGACAGGCTGTGGAGGAAGAAATGGCAGGCCCTAGTCAGCTCTGCATTCGCCGTTGGACTACCAAGCATGTCGCAGTATGGCTGAAGGATGAAGGTTTCTTTGAATATGTGGACATTTTATGCAACAAGCACCGACTTGATGGAATCACATTACTCACACTGACTGAATATGATCTTCGATCTCCTCCTCTGGAAATCAAAGTCCTAGGAGACATTAAAAGGTTAATGCTCTCAGTCAGAAAATTGCAGAAAATCCATATTGATGTTTTGGAGGAGATGGGCTACAACAGTGACAGTCCTATGAGTCCCATGACTCCATTCATCAATGCTCTTCAGAGTGCAGACTGGCTCTGTAATGGAGAGCCCACACACGACTGTGATGGACCCATCACTGACTTGAATTCTGATCAGTACCAGTACATGAATGGCAAAAACAAACATTCTGTTCGAAGATTGGACCCAGAGTACTGGAAGACCATACTGAGTTGCGTATATGTTTTTATAGTATTCGGGTTTACATCTTTCATTATGGTCATTGTTCACGAGCGAGTGCCTGACATGCAGACCTACCCACCACTCCCGGATATATTCTTAGACAGGTAGGTTTTATTTTTAGATGTGGATAATTATGTTGTGATTATAGCTGACATGTATATTCCATTTGCCTTGTCTGGTGCCATCAAAGGACGTGCTTTGCCAAGCATGATGACATATCCCTGTACTCTGGAAACTGAGGTAGGTAGACCACAGGTTCAAACTCTGGGCGATTTGTAAAGGATATTATGTTAGGAGGATGTTTATAATAGACTTAGCTGCCTTTCTTTTTAAATTTTTTTTTTATTTTAAATGATGGCAAGTGTTCTGCTTTTCTAAAAGTACCACTAGATGAATCAAATTTATTTTCAATAGTACAAATTAATTGAGAGATTGATTTCATTTTTATTGAATACTGAATAAAACTAAGTAAATATAAAAGGGAAATAGGAGATGGCTGGAGAGATGGCTCAGCATAACCGGGTGTTTGTGGCGCACACCTTTACTCCCAGCACTCAGGAGGCAGAGGCAGGCGGATCTCTGTGAGTTCTGGGCCAGCCTGGTCTACAGAGCGAGTTCCAGGATAGCCAGGACTGTTTCACAGAGAAACCTTGTCTTGAAAAACCAAAAAATAAAAAGAGAGAGAGAAAGAGATGGCTCAGCAGTTAAGATCTCTGGATATTCTTTCAGAGGACAATTTCCAGCACCCACATGGCAGCTCACAATGTCTATAAACCCAGTTCTAGGGCATGCAACATTAAAAAAAAGAGCCGGACAGTGTTGCATGTCTTTAATCCCAGCACTCAGGAGCCAGAGGCAAGCAGATCCCTGTGAAGTTTGAGACCAGTCTGTCTATAAAGCAAGTTCCAGAACAGCCAGGGCTACAAAGAGAAGTCCTATCTTGAAAAAACAAAAATAAATAGTCTGTGCTATGAAAAAAAAGAGAGAACAGTAACTAACAACTTTTTGTTAGCTAAGTATCACCTTGTTTTCCATTGCTGGTTATTGAGCCCAGGGCCAATTCCATATTGGGTAAGTGGTCTACCACCAAGCTATATCTGTAAGCTATCTTGTAGGGAAACAACCATTATAGATAATAGTGTTCTGGTTTTTACTCAGCCTGCTCACCTCCTACAGTATGCCCAATATACTATTTATTCGTTCTGTTTAAAGAAAAGGGGGGGTGATAGTAATGAATTTTAAAGCTTTGAGGAAAATAATATATGACTGTAGCAAACAGACAAGAAATAGTGGATGTGAAGTAAACCTGCCTATCTGTATCCCTCAGTGTGCAATTGATTCAGGCAAATTACTAGTGGATGCTAAAATCCATTTGATGGAAAGCCACTGAGCAGCAGCATATTTGCATGATTGAAGTTTCGTCTTCCATATTACTTAATTGCAGAGGAAACAGGTACTTTTACAATGCTGGGACTGACAAAGATCATCCTAACCACAGGGTCAGATCCACCATCACAGTGCAAACTGGCAGTATGCACTGGATATAATGTTCAAAGCATCAGCTCAGTAATAATCTTGCCGTCAGAAAATTTTAACCTAAGTCTGATTATAAGGAAATAGTCAGACACACAAAAAGGAGCTTTCTACATGATAGCTCATTTAGAGTCTCCAGAGATGTCAGTGTCATAGTAAACAAATCCCAGGGGATTTTGAGGGAAATTGAAGGGACACACCACGGTCAATACATGGTAATTAGATCCTAATCAAGAAATTTAGTTGTAAAGGATGTGTTGAAAATAGTTAGAAAGTGTGAATGTGGATTGCATATTAAATGATGATGCCAAGTCAATACAGCAGTTCTCAGGGTCTGAATCTGAAGATCCATCCTTATTCTCTGAGATACATGTAGGGAGGAGGTGTATCTGTAACTTACTTTGGAGGACTCTAAAATGTGTGAAATGAAGCAAATAGGGCAAAAGCATTAAATATAAATAATTGAATGATTTAACTGAAGAGTATTAAGTACTTGTTTTTGTAAGTTTTTTCAGAACGATCAGGGTTTTTTCAAATATATTGGTGATGTGAGGAAATGGGAATTGGAGACAATCAGAACTTTGCTGTAAGGTCAGTAAAGGATTACAAAGAAATGGACTTATTGCTTGATCACAGGGCTTTGGTGTGTTTGGATGAGGCATTAGTAACAACAAGGTTCAGGTTATAATAGCAAGTGTTGGTTGCTGTGGTAGGGCAAAGGGCAAGATCATAGGAAGAGAAATAAGAGATCAAGAATGCCATTATATACCATTGTAACAGAAGGAGTAACGGGGAGGGAGGGAAAAGAGATCTAGATCTAGAACTAGAAAATTATAAGAAGTTTTATGGGAAGGAGTTTCATCATGCTTTTTGTATGACTATATATAAGCTTATATTGAGTAAAAGCTAAAGCAGCTGTTCTTAAGCAAAATTATGAAATAGTGGGTGTGAGATTTGTATAAAGGAAGTAGGTGTGTGTGTGTGTGTGTGTGTGTGTGTGTGTGTGTGTGTTAGGTGAATGTGTGTGTTAGGTAAGTGTGTGCATGCATGTGTGCTGACTGTGTGTGTTAGATGAGTGTGAGTGTGTTACTAAAAGATGTAATGTGTGATGAAATAGCGGAAAACTGGGAAGCAGTAATTAGGTTTAGTTTTGGGAAGAAGTAGAAGATTTATTTTTATCCTAAATATGTAAAATTTAATTTTTGTATGTACCAATGTATTTCTTGTTGAAGGCAAGGTCTCACTATGTATCCCTGGTTGTCCTTGAACTCTTTCTGTAACTTGGAGATCCACCTGCCTTTGCCTCCTGAGTAGTGGGAACAAAGGTGTTTGCTACCATGCCTGGCTTATTTTTTTTAAGGGTGTTGTGGCAAATGCAAATCATACATTTGATGATAATATATCTTAAACTTATTTTTAGAAAATTCTTTTGACATGTATATAATTTTACTATTATTAAAGTTAGGAAGGCAAGTGTACATAATAAAATGTTGTTTATTTTACATTAAAAATTAAATACTTGCTAAATATTTGATACTTGAAGACACAGCATTGTCTGTGTTTTTCAGAGTTAATCAATATTTTGATTTTTTTTATGGTCCTTAGTTCTGAGAATACCACTTCACATAAATTTATAATACAAAATGGCAGCTGTTCAGGGCCATTTAGAACTTGTTGGAAATGTTATTCTAATCCTGAGCCAAAATTCATGTAACAATTTTTTGTTTGTTTCTTTTGAGACAGGGCTTCTCTGTAGCCCTGGCTGTCCTGGAACTCACTCTGTAGACCAGGCTGGCCTTGAACTCACAGAGATCCACTTACCTCTGCCTTCCGAATGTCAGCATTAAAGGCGTGTGCCCGACCACAGCAATTTTTTTTTTAAGATTTATTTATTTATTATGTATACAGCATGCTGTCTGCATATATGCCTGCAGGCCAAAAGAGGGCAACAGATCTCATTACAGATGGTTGTGAGCCACCATGTGGTTGCTGGGAATTGAACTCAGGACCTCTGGAAGAGCAGCGCGTGCTCTTAACTTCTGAGCCATCTCTCCAGCCCGCCACAGCAATTTTTAAAGTCAGCCATCATCACAAGAGACAACCCAAGTGTGTGATAACTTGTTGCTTACGTCATGAGGAGTAGCAAATATGAAAACTGATGATTACATCTGTTTTTTATATTTAAAGCAGTGGTTTTTTTTCTCAGAGTAGAAGAGTTTGCATAGTAAAGACACTTCGGTTTATAATAGAGCTGTCTTTGAATCTGAGGTGTTACAGGCAGCATTCATTGGTGTGGTATGGAGTGATTGATGGCATGCAGTGTGAAGTGCGTGTTTTGTGTTCAGAACCAAGAGAACCAAGACTTTAGGGAAGTTGCCCAGCACAGTTTGGGGAGGTAGGCACTGTCAGAAACACTTCAGACTCCTTACATGTTGGGTGATGAATGTGGGGTTTTTTTTGTTCCAAGTTCACAAAAACCTTTAACTGTAGCCTTTCTTTTTCTTTCTTATTTATGTACTTAATTTTGTGCAGATTCCCTTCCTCATTCAGACCTATAACCACAGTTTCAGAAATTGGGTGCTGGGCTGGAGAGTCGACTCAGAGGCTTCAGAGTATGTACTGCTTTTGCTGAAGACCTACACCCATGCCAAGTAGCTCATAGTTGCTGTAACTCAAACTCCAAGGAGTCTGATGCCCTCTTCTAGCTTTCTTGACCACCTGTATTCACATGTGCATGTACACACACACACACACACACACACACACCTACACATACACCTACCTAAAAATAGAATAATTTAAGAAATTGAATACTGCTGGGAGGTGGTGGTGCACACCTTTAATCCCAGCACTTGGGAGGCAGAGGCAGAGGCAGGTGGAGCTCTGTGAGTTTGATGCCAGCCTGGGCTACAGAGAGAGTTCCAGGACAAGCTCCAAAGCTACAGAGAAACCCTGTCTTGAACCCCACCCCACCCCCAGGGGTGGGGATGGGGGTGGTAGTTGAGATTGAATGCTACAGCCTGGGAGAGATGGGTTGTTATTTCTTTACAGAGAACCATTACTGGAAGTCAGTGACAGCCAGTAGATTGTGATGAGTAGGATAGTTTATGAAGCAGATTTTTAACCCCCAGGCATTTATCTCTTAAGAGAGATAAAGTTCTACAGAGCAGTTCTGAGGGTGAAACATTGCACCGAAAAGGGGTACATCTGCTTGTCTTCAGCTCCAGAAAGAACTGTTTTTCTGTTGCAGTGTTCCCAGGATCCCGTGGGCCTTCTCCATGACTGAAGTGTGTGGCATGATTCTGTGCTACATTTGGATCCTGGTTCTTCTTCTTCACAAGCACAGGTATTCCCTGTTCCTAAAGATTGAAAATGTCTGACTTCAAGTTTGTTGTCAAGCCTGGTCCTTCCTCTGCATGGCCCTGAGGGATTTCCTTCTGCTCTGTGGGACATAGCTTTTTACAAAGGAAAATTGGGGGCGGGGCGGGGGCTGGTTAAGGAAGGTTGTAAGACCAATGTATTTGGTAATATTGTGAATGTATTTTATAGGGAAAGGGGTAATCAGCATTGAGCCAGTTCTTACTAGTCTAGCTTTCTCCTCCTCTTCCTCCTTTCTCTCCTCCTTTTACCTCCTCTTCCTCTCCTCTTTCTTATCTTTCTCTCTCCTCGTCTTCTGACACAAACTAGAAATGGCACTTCTATAGAAAGATAGAAATGCTTCCAAGGACAGTGTTTGGTTAAGTGGTTAGAGGAGGGATGCCCATTAAACAAGGCTGTCTTGAATGCTCTGCACATCTGAGATGGTCAAGTTGCTAAATGAGAAGTCTGTTTCTTGGCACTTTCACAAAAAAATAACAAAGGAAGACTTTTTAAATAAATATTAGGCCAGCCCATCTGCAGAGTGAGTTCCAGGACAGCCAGGGCTTGTTATACAGAGAAGCCCTGTCTTGAAAAACACCAATGAATAAATAAACAAATAAATGAGCAAGCAAATAATAATGAACAAATAGGCAGGCAGGCAGGCAGACAGACAGAGCAAGGAAGGCAGAAGGGTAGGAAGACCCCTTTTCTATATTAACGATTCTTAGTTGATGTCAAAGAAAATAAGGCTTAGTGATGAAGAAAACATTAAAAACTGTCTGTGGTTAGCTGCTGCCCATTGATTTTAGAACCCTGAGGAGGAATGACTGGATATTGTCTTGCAATTGGGGACCTCTCTCCTCACCAGGAAGTTCTGTGGTGGCCACATACATCCTGAGCTGTGGTTATTTTAGTACTTTGAAGGTGAAAAAAAAAAGGTTGATGACTGCTATTTTTGTCACATTTTAAGGCCATATTTTTTTAGGCCATTTTGCCACATTTCTCATTGTGTCTTGTATGCACTCCTATTTTAAGATGAAATGGTTTAAAAGCGTGTATGTCACTGCTTTCTGGCTAACTTTCTCACAAGTTCCTATGGACTTAATCTATTCACTCATGAAAATAAGAACATATGTTACCTTAGAAGAAACCTTGGTAGACTCGGTGAAGCATGGTAGTGACCAGGTAAATCCAAGTAGTGGTCTTTACTTAAAGTAGATAAATCCAGGAGGCAATGCTTCCTTGGTCCAAGAAGGTATTTCTCAAGAGTCATCTTTGTATTACTTTTGATTGGAGTCCTCTGAAAAGTTGTTGAGCTGCAGGTTCCTAAGCTCCATCCAGATGTGCACACTACAGACCAAAACATACCTTGCCTTCTGTGTGGTGCTGCTTTTGAGAGAAAGTACCCCAAACTCTTAGTCTGTTTTGATTTAGGGCGCTTAAAGAAATAGCAGCACAAATGATATCACAGTTTATGATTACTTAAATTATGCTTATTCAAAGTTTCTGTTTTAGATATACCTAATATAAAACAGTATTATTTTTATAGCTTAAGTTTAAGTTATGGACAACTTCATATAGCTATTCTTGTAAACATTTTAGTGTTGTTAATGAGCAAAAGTAGAATCTCAAGTGATTAACTTTACCCTCCTATAAACAATTTAAGGTGCTGGCAAAAGTGGTAAAAAAAAAAAAAACACCTGGTGCTCTTCATAGCCCTGGGGTTCAGTTCCCAGTGCCCACATTAAATGGCTCTCAACTGCCTGTAACTCCAGTTCCAGAGAATCCTACACCTTTGGCCTCCAAGGATACCTGCACTTCCATGCACATATCCCACAGGCAAACATGGATACCTACACATAATTAAAAACAATTAAAAAACTTAAATTTTTTAAAATAAATTATGAGTAATAGTACTAATATTAAGCTTCCTGGGATTACTTCTGTCTTGAAAACTCCACTTTTAGATGGGTGGTGGTAGTGAACACCTTTAATCCCAGCACTCAGGAGGCAGATCTCAGAGGACAGCCTGGTTTACAATCAAGTTCCAGGACAGCCAAGCCTACACAGAGAAGTTTGTCTTGAAAAATAAACAGATAAACAAAAAACCTTCCACTTTTGTATGGTCCTATTTTACCACCAAAAGAATGCTCTTTCAGATCTGCACTAGCTGTATGTGGCTATTATAATTTCAATTAATTAGTATTAGATACAGATCTTACTAATGTAAGCCTCATTCCAGATGCTTAAGTGCCAATTGTAGGTAGCTGGCTACATGGTATGTAGAACACCTCCATCACTGCAGAACTCTAGTGGATGATGACATGTTAGATGGTCTCCTAAGATCCTCTCCAAATTAAAATAAAAAATTATGACACATATATAATGAAACCCATTGCTTTGTATATAGTGCGATAAAACCATATACATGCTTTACAAAGATGTATTTAAATATAAGTTTTTCTACCTTTAAGTTTACAGATCTACATTTAGTAAACAACCTGTGAGCAAATACTGCCACAGTCTAGATTTTAGAACACCCTCATTGTCTTTTCATTATTATTTCCAATCCCGGCCCCAGGCAAACACTGACCCATTTTGTTTTCCTTTTAATTCAGAACTTCTGAGTGAGGGAAAGATTTTTGTCCTTCATAAAGACTAGTGGTTTTCTCTCTGTGTTGGGAGAGTTGGGGTATTGTTTGATTTCTGCTTTGATCACTCTGTTCACAGGTCGATCCTTCTGCGAAGGCTCTGTAGTCTGATGGGCACTGTATTCTTGCTTCGCTGCTTTACCATGTTTGTGACCTCCCTCTCCGTGCCAGGACAGCACCTGCAGTGTACTGGAAAGGTAGCCTGCTACCTTCTATATGTTCTTTATTGTTCTTTTGGATTAATGACACAATGCATGCAGGAAGGCAAAAATTGTGTTAAACATGTTTTTTTTTTTTTTTTGTAATATCAGTAGTAAACTTAACAGAAATAACTGGGTTAAGTAACCTTAAGCTAGACTTATCTCTCTGTGATTCCATCATGGATATTAGTTCCATGTTATGGGACTATGGGAAGAATTGACTCTCTCTTTCTGCTACATTTTTCTCTTTCTCAGCATCTTTGTTACAATGTGTTTATTAGTATATATTAATTATGTATGTACCTTAATGGTTTTCATTATCACACTCTCATACACATTCACAATACATTTGGATCACATCCACCCTTGATACACTTTGGGTCTTCATCTGGTGTGCCATTTTCCAGTTAAAACTAACCCAGGGCTCTGTAAACTTACTAGGATATGTGAAATATTTATATGGGGTTTTTTTTGATGAATTTTTTTTCTTCGGTTTTGTATTGTTTATATCTTTTTCTGCTAAATAGAGAGCTATGTGATTGCCCAGTGTGTAAATGGTCCTGGGGTTTAGTCCCCAGCACTCAGCCCCCACCACCACCACTAAGTAATTTTTAAAAATCAATAAAATAATCTTAAAAGTTGAGGATCTCAACTGGGTGTGGTTACACATGCCTTTAATCCCAGGAGTTGGGAGGCAAAGGCAGGTGTATCTCTGTGAGTTTGAAACTAGCCTGAATTACAAACTGAGTTCCAGGACAGCCAGGGCTATGTAGAAAGATCCTGTCTAAAAGAAACAAAAACAAAAGTTGAAGGTATCATATGTCCTTGATATACAAAATTGTGAATGATTAGGTGCCATTGCCTATACTGCAGTGGGAGAAATAGTGACATGCCAGTTAGGGAAGGAAGATTAAGCACCGGAAGAAGATGAAGAGCTAAAAATACTGCCCTTGAGGTGAAGGGCAGCAAAGTTCTCCAGGTATTAGGAGTGTGAGACTGAGCACTGAAAAGGGCTCAGGGCAGTTCCAGACTTCTCTAAAGCAAATATTTTTAATGTTAAAAACTGTTGGGGAGTTTTGTGTTTTTCAGTATAGAAAAACTTTTTGTTTTTTTCCCCTGATACAGGGTTTCTCTGTGTAACGGCCCTGGCTATCCTAGAACTTATTCTGTAGACCAGGCTGGCCTCGCTCACAGATCCACCTGCCTCTGCCTCCCAAGTGCTGTGATTGAAGACCTGCACCACCACCTGGCAGAAAAACATCTTTATTACAAAGTTGTACATGATTCTTATAAGAACTCAAATTATATATAAATGTATGTTAAAAAGCAAAAGCTCCTCTAGACCCCCTTTTATCCCAGCCTACAAGTAAAACTGTTAACAGTTGTGTCTACTTGCACAGGTCTGGTTTGGAGTTTTCCCTTCCTCCCTCCCTCCCTTGGAGGCAGTCTCACTATGCAGCTCTGGATAGCCTAGAACTCACTATGTTGACCAAACTATCCTGGAACTCACAGACAGCCTCCTATCTCAGCCTCACAACTGCTAAGATTAAAGGTATTAGGTACCTCCAGTAGCACAAACCATTTTAAAATAGAGTTTTTGTTTACTCCCATAAGTTGACATTGATGGACAATGAATTGAGAGGTGATTCTATGATTATGTTTAAGATACTGGTATGTTCTTTCTCTTTCTCTTGGATGTCTACCTGTGAGGTCTGAGACCTTATACATTGAGGCAGGGTCTCAGGCTGAACTTGGAGCCACCAGATCAGCTAGCATGCCAGCAACTCTTCATGCTGGGATATCCAACTAGCCTTTTACATTTCTTCTTGGCATGAGTTCTAGGAATCTAAACTCAAGGCACATTTGCATAGAAGCACTTTACCCATCTCCCCAGTCTCATGGTTAGCCAGGCAATGGTGGCGAATGTCTTTAATCCAAGTACTCAGGAGGCAGAGGCAGGTGGGTCTGAGTTTTTATTTTAAGGCTAGCTTGGTCTACTGATTGAGTACCAGAATGGCCAGGGCATGTTTTGTGGAGGAACCTTGAACCTGATACCTTGCACATGCTAGGCAATCACTTTTTTCCTCTGAGCTATATCCTCAGTTTTACTTACTTCTAAGTTTTTGGAAATAGAATTATATTATAAAATATATTATACATTGTGATACATATTCCTAAAATGCTCACTTGAAAAAAAAATTTAGTTTCCGGGATGGTGTTTTGGACAAAGATACACTTTGCACTTTGTAACTGTACTTTTAAAGTAACTGTTCTTTGTGAAAAGTAGCAATGAACAGCATACACATTTGCTTCTGGTCTCCAGATATCACTCAAAAATATCTATCAAAACACTTTAAATTTAGGGAAGGGGGGCAAGAGAGACAGACAGAGAGGAGAGAGAGAGAGAGAGAGAGAGAGAGAGAGTGTTACACATGCAAGTGCAGACATATACATAACACAGCATGAATGTGTGGTTCAGAGTACAGCTCTAGAGACAGTTCTCTCCTGCCACTTTGTAAGCCCCACAGATTGAACTCCAGTCTTTGGGCATGCACAGGAGTACCTCTACACACTGAACCATCTTGCCAGATCCACTCAGGCCTTCAGTTAACAAAGCAAAACAACAGTGAAAAAGTCATCAGGAGCTGAGCATGGCCATTCATGACTATAATCCTATAATCCCAGCATTCAGGAGGCTGTGCTGAGAGACTGGCAAATTTGAAGACAGCTGGACCACATAGTGCAGTGATTTTTCAACCTATAGGTCCTGACCCCTTTGTGAGTTCACCAACCTTTTCACAGGGGTCACATATCAGATATTCGTTATTTATATTACAATTTGTAGCAGTAGCAAAATTACAGTTATGAGGTAGCAAGGAAAATAATTTTATGGTTGGGACACCACAACATTAGGAACTGTATTAAAGGCTTACAGTGTTAGAAAGGTTGAGAATCAATGCCATAGTGAGTCCCAGACCAGCCTGAGATAAAAGACAGACCCTGTCTGGGGGAAAAAAAAAAAAAAGTTCAGAATGGTATTCCTCTCACATTTTACTTTGCTTCATATGGGGACAGATCTGTAAGTGTGTCTAAGATATTCCTGGTTACTATTCTCTGTGATTTCTTTTTAAGCAATTGGGAAAATTGACTTTCCTTTAGAATTTAGATTAATAAAAAAATGAAATGACTAGAATCTAATTTAGTTCTCATAATAACTTGTATAATACAAGTATACATTCCTTTAAAGTAGACTGTAGTGTACCACCATGATAAGACAGTGTCATCATAATATTGGCCCCATTCTTGGGCTGTGTCTTTGTCTTCAAGCAATTAATTATTTCATTGATTGGGTGCTGGAGTGATGGCTCAGCTGATAAGAGCACTGGCTGCTCTTCCAGAGGGCCAGGGTTCAATTCCCAGCACTCACATAGCAGTTCGCAACTGTCTGTAACTCCTCCAGTTCCGAGGGATATGACACCTTTACACCAATGCACATAAAATAAAAGTTAAATAATCTTATTTTTTATTTGAATTAAAACAAAATTGTTTTACATATCAATCCCAGTTCCCACCCCACCCCACCCCCAACTAAAACCCTACCTATCACATATCCTTTCTGCTCCCCAGGAGAGTGAGGCCTTTCATAGGGGGTCATCAGAGTCTACCATATCCTTTGGGATAGAGCCTAGGCCCAACCCCGTGTGTCTTGGCTCAGGGAGTATCCCTCTATATGGATTAGGTTCCCAAAGTCCACACCTATGCTAGGGATAAGTATTGAACTACTACAGGAGGTCCCGTAGATTTCCGAGTTCTCCTCACTGAAACCCACATTCCTGGGGTCTGGATCAGTCCCATGCTGGTATCCCAGCTATCAGTCTGGGACCCTGATAAAAGAGTTCCCTGAGATAAATTATTTTAAAAATTATTTCATTGATTTATAGCCTTAAATTTTTATGAGAGGTTGTTTTTGTTTGTTTGTTTTTCAAGACATGGCTTCTTTATGTACTCCTGCTGTTCTGAAATTGGCTTTGTAGACTAGACTGGCCTTGAGAGAACTGCCTGCCTCTGCCTCCTGAGTGCTGAGATTCAAGGCATGCACTGCTTAAGTTTTAAATATCTAATTTTTAATTACATATGTATGTCTTTGCTTGGATATGTACATATGTATGTGTGTGCCCACAAAGACCAGAATGTGTTGGATTTCTTGGAGCTACAGTTGGGAGCCATTCTTCTTGGGTGCTGGGAACTGATTAGGGTCCTTTGAAAGAACTTACTCTTAACCAGAGAGCCCGCTCCCCAAGTCCCAGCAGACTAAACTGAGTAGTAGCTCAGTGAATTGACTAAAGGGATTAATAGTGGTGGAAGACAGAGAGAGATTTAGTCATTGTGGCCACTTTGGAAAGAGGAACGTATAGAGGAGTCCAGTGATCCCTGAAATCAGTCTTAGGGTACTGATATGAACTTTAGGTTTAAATAGAGGGAAAATTGGGGTAAGAATAAGAAGTACACATAATAAGGCCTAATTGTCTAAGTGTGGTCTGGTTTGTACCTCAATTCCTGCCACTGCTTGAGGGAATAAGCCAGTTTCCACGAGGTGACTACTCTTACTTGAGGGTGATCTCATGATGGGGTGACACCTGTGTCAGTTCTGTCTGGTCTGGAGGCATCAGACCCCTCAGTCTCTGCTTCCTGCTAAAGGTCTTTCCTAGGAAGATCTGGAGATTTCAAAGAACGCCACTGTGTTTGTATCTTTTGCTTAATTGGCTAATGTAGATAGATACTTCTTTTTATATAAGGAAGGACTTTTAAAGCTATTACTGAGTGTGATTTTCTGAATAACCAGATATGAAGATATCAAAGGAATATATTTGAGGTGGAACGTTTTGCTTTCCTGTGAAGCTTTTAGCAGACAAGAGAATGTCCTGCCCTTGAAGGGGTTTATCTGGGACCGCCACTGAAAAGAAGGCTGGATCTTTGTGCACACAGCTGCATTGTGTGCTATAAGAACAAATCAGATGTCTCTCTTCAGTGTGGACAGCCCTCTTTCTGTCTCTGGTGACTTTCTCTATTAATTAGTTATGTGTGGATATTTCCATCTAAATCTGCCCTAAATACTGCTAATTGCTTTGAAGTATAATGTAGCCTTCCTATTGACCTACATTATATATAGCAATCTTAAAAGTAGAGCATTATGGGGGTAACAACCAGCCAAATCCCTTACAAGGAGATCCATAGACATTTCACTGTGATAAATTAATGGCTTAAAATCATGGAACCAGCCGGGCAGTGGTGACGTACGCCTTTAGTCCCAGCACTCGGGAGGCAGAGGCAGAGGCAGAGGCAGAGGCAGAGGCAGAGGCAGAGGCAGAGGCAGGCAGATCTTTTTGAGTTCGAGATCAGCCTGGTCTACAAGAGCTAGTTCCAGGGCAGTCTCCAAAGCCACAGAGAAACCTTGACTTGAAAAATAAAAAAAAATAAAAAAAATAAAAAAAAAGATCATGGAACCAGGACAACTGAGAACATGCCTGTTTTTAAAATTTAGCAGCCCAAAGCTAATTTGCATATCTTGTCTAGACAGCTTCCTATTCATTCTTCTCTGTTTCAGTTTGTTTCTAGAAGGGTGTAAGAGAAAAGATGAGAAGACTTTAGTCTGGGTGATAATTGTTTGAGACTAGCACTACTTGTTCCCTGTCCTCAATTAAGATATCCAGCTGGGCAGTGGTAACCACACCTTTGATCCTAGCACTTGGAAGGCAGAGGCAGGAGGATCTGAGTTTGAGGCCAGTCTGGTCTACCGAGTGAGTTCCAGGATAGCCAAGGTAACAAAAAAAAAAAAAAAGAAAAAAGAAAGAAAAGGGAAAAGAAAAAATTTTTCTCCTATGATTGACTCATCAACCCCCCCATGATCTTTTGTCTTTCTCTTCTACTATCCTGAGACTTGCATCTCAAGGCCACATAGTGGTCCTTGGGGCTGTTGGAGATTCAATTACCGTGTCTGAATTGTAGGTAGAAGGCAAGTGGAGTGGTATAGAAGACCTCTTGGTTCTCTGTACCCTTCCTAGAAATCTTCCACACTTGTGCTTGCAACTTTCTGTAGAGGACATTGCTCTACCTGAGTTCAAGGAAGGCCAGGAAGGAGTAAGACCTGGCTGAGTTCATGGCCTCATCAATGTATGTGTTTCTGTAACCAGTGAAGACAGGGAGAATAGCTATTAAATGGTAGTCTGGAAGTTACGGCATAGCTTATTTCCTTACTAATTTTTTTCTTTCTTTTTGAAGAAAGTTGGTGCTGGGTCTTCTGGCAGGTAGGGCTGGGAAAGGGCCGGTCCAGCCGGTCTCTTCCTGGAACTGAGCAGGATGGTGAGTGTCAACGATTCAGACCGCCTCCTAGTCACCAGAGAGAACCACACTGAGTCTCGTTTTATTTCATCTGGCATGTGCTTATATAGAGTTGAGAAAGTGGGTGGGGACCTCAGGATGGGGTGAGGTGTAAGGGCCAATAATATTTCACCATGTTAGCAGTAGCTGGGCAGAGGCAGTTTTTCTGAGACAGACCGCCAAACTCTAGCCAGGCTCAGAAAGTTCCACTAGGCCTTGTGTCTGGGCCTTTTTAGGCCCAACAAGTTGGCACTTATTTATTTTTGTTTTTTTGGAGACAGGGTTTCTCTGTGTAACAACCCTGGCTATCCTGAAACTCATTTTGTAGACCAGCCTGCCTTTGAACTCACTGAGATCCACCTGCCTCTATCTCCCAAGCATTGGGATTAAAGGCATGTGCCAACATGTCCGGCCTGCAAGTTGGAACTTATTAAAAGATTTTAATATAAGGCTAGACAGTTGGGGTGAATGCCTTTAATCCCAGCACTAGGGAGGCAGAGGCAGGATGGTCTACAAATCGAGTTCCAGGATAGCCAAAGCTGTTACACAGAGAAACCCTGCCTTGGAGGGGAAAGAAAAAGATTTTAATATAGATTTAAACGTGGATATTATGGAAGAAAATAAGTAAATAAAACCTAGAGATGTTCTTGTTTTACAGTGGGTGTTTGTTTTAAGATGAAATCTCATATAACCTTGGCTGGCCTATGTCGCCTTGAACTCTTGATTCTCCTGTTTCTGACTATGAAGTGCTGGGATTATGAACATGTGATGTCATTCTTGGCTTTGACATTTTCACTTTTTGCTTTTGTTGTTGTCTTGAGATGAGGTCTCTCTGTGTAGTCCTGGTTGTCCTGGAACTCAGTATGTAGACCAGACTGGCGTCAAGCTCACAGAGATAAATCTGCTTCTGCCTCTGCCTCTGCCTCTGCCTCTGCCTCTGCCTCTGCCTCAAGCATATGTTACATGCCCAGCTTGGCATTTCACTTTAAAGGAACTCTCCTATAAAGAAGTTTGAAATATTATGATTTCATTTAATTAGCAGCATTTTCTGAGTACAGTCAAGCTTTGGTCAGTCTCTGGGCTCACTTGGAATTAATTGGGTTAGGCTTTGTTTGCCTTTGCCTGAATGCTCTTATTTCTGAATCATTCCTCACAGATTCCCCGAAATTGATTTGGGGAATCTCTGAACCTCTTTTAGCATTTGAAGAATTAATTCACAGCTTTCTTTATAGATATATGGAAGTGTATGGGAGAAACTACACCGGGCTTTTGCCATTTGGAGTGGCTTTGGTATGACCCTGACTGGTGTCCACACTTGCGGAGATTACATGTTCAGTGGCCACACAGTTGTTCTAACCATGCTGAATTTCTTTGTCACAGAGTGTAAGTATGTCTTTAATGCTTCTGTGCATATCAGACCACTGCAGAGGAGGAGTGGGGGGGGGGGGGGGGAGGCCGTGGGGGGGCTGGGGTTGTAACTCATTTGGTAGAGTGTTTGCCTGAAGACAGGTACCACATAAAAACATGTGTGATGGGGCTGGAGAGATGGTACAGTGGTTAAAAGGATTGACTGCTCTTCCACAGGACCTGGTTTCAAATCCCAGCACCCACATGGTGACTTGCAACTTGAGTTCTAGGTGATCTGATACCCTCACACAGACATGCAGACATACATGCAGGCAGAACACCAATGCACATAAAATAAAAAATTTTTAAATAGTATAAAAAGCTGGGCATTGGTGGCACATGCCACTCAATACTCAGGAGGCAGAGGCAGACGGATCTCTGTGAGTTGGAGGCCAGCCTGGTCTACAGAGGGAGTGCCAGGATAAGCTCCAAAGCCACACAAAGAAACCCTGTCTCGAAAAACCAACCAACCAAACAAACAAACAAAAAAAACAAACAAAAAATAGTGTAAAAAAACACATGCAATGGCATATGCCTGTAATCCCAGAAGTCCAGGTTCATCTGCATATCTAGTTTAAGGCAGCCTGGACTACGTGAGACAGAGTTGGAAAACAAGAGGGAAGGATAGGTTGGGGAACAACAGTCTATAGCATACCCTGAGAAGCATGTGACTAAGGCTCAGCATAAGAAGTGTGGTTTTAAGTGATCCTTCTGTCCTTTTCCTAGATACACCAAGAAGCTGGAATTTCTTGCACACTCTCTCCTGGGTTCTCAACCTCTTTGGAATCTTCTTCATCTTGGCTGCCCATGAACATTATTCCATTGATGTGTTTATTGCCTTTTATATCACAACAAGACTCTTTTTGTACTACCATACTCTGGCCAATACCAGAGCGTATCATCAGAGTAGGAGAGCGAGAATTTGGTTTCCTATGTTTTCTTTCTTTGAATGCAATGTTAATGGCACAGTACCTAATGAATACTGTTGGCCATTTTCTAAACCAGCAATAATGAAAAGACTAATTGGATGAAGACTATCTCTGTAATGAGTTTGTTGTTAAATATACAGTAGTTACAGAATGAAAATGAATAACTTTGCTTTGTCCCCAGGTTGTTCCTGGATATGTTGCATTTTGGCGTATATGTTGACAGGTTTCCCATTCTGAGCAAGGCTGTGACTATAAAACTCAAGAAAGAGCAACTAAGACTCCTTACCTCACTGTTCGAACAGAGAGCTCAAGGAGAGATTTTCTGCCCCTCCTTCACTGTAGGAAGACCCAGTGTGTGGGTGATGTCAGGCCATTACCTGTGCATGTTGAGTGTTTGCTTTCTGAACTCAAGCACATTAGCTTGGGTAGGTTGATCGATTTCCAGTAGGACTCAAGTCAAGAAATATTTTTTGAAGCTGTTTCCCCCCCTACCAAGCCATTCTCACTTGTTCATTGAACTAACCTGTGTCTGTGTGGGAAGTGATTGTCTTACTGGTAAACCTTTGAACCATTTTTAAGAAAAGTATATTGAACACAGCAGCTTGCATTAAACAAGTAGAGAATGCAAGGGGCCATGTGTGAGGTGACACACTGGTCAGGTGTCACTGGCCTTCCCACTAATACAAATATGGGGTCAGCATTTTCACCATAGGTGCAGTTCCTGTTTTGTTTTGAAGCTTCACTGTGAATAACAGTAAGGATTTGTGAAGGAAAGCAGCTGTGTTCATAATAGTAAAGTAGTGTCATTTGAGTGCTGTATTGGAATAAGTTTGTGTTGTAACAGTTAGTTAAGCAGATGACAGCACAATATAATGCTTTCTTTAATGATGTGATTTAGTGAGACAAATAAGAGTGTTTTACCAGATGTTAAAGTTCTAATGTCAGTAAATAAGTAAATGTGCATGCAAGAAATTCTTTTCTTCTAATGAAAAAAAATCTACAGGTTGTAGGCATAGTGTTAACTCTTTGGGGTGTTTTGTTTTCTTGAAAGTTCTCATTCTTGGCCATTGAAAGTAAACAGTCAGACATACTTGGACACAAAAAGCTTGTTGCTTTTTTTTTTTAAAAAAAAATAATGTGTACATACATTCTTTCTATAGTCTTAGTTTGGCAGTCAAGAACTAAAATAAATTAGCTGCTGTTTACATTAGAAAATTATCATCAGCAATTAATTTTACTTCTCAGATACCATTTGTTACTTTATTTTTGACCTTGGCCTGGTTGTAGAATTGGAAATTGACCTTTAGATTAAACAAGTAGAATACTAATTGTGTAGTTTTTACATTCCATTTTCAAACAAGGACTTTGAAGAGGTGCTGGCATACTGAGGTCACAGCAGACACTTGGTCCTTCTCTGTTTGGGTGAAATGCTCATTATTGCAGTTGGAAACGTAGTCCCACCCTCCCTGAAGCTACCAGAGTGAATTAGGCAAGAAGGGGAGATTAGGCAGGCAGGTTTCAGCCCATCCTGTATAAACTGAGTCTGCTGGAAAACATCACTCGTTTATCACTTGAGAAATGATGTGAGGCAACTCAAGTTTGATTATGTCTTGAAATTTTATACTTCAGAATCTTACAGTATTTTAAATTGTTGATTCTGTTCCAAGCCAGGATCAAAAATGCCAATGTCTCATGTAAAGCAATTGCATAATCTTGGAGTGAAGGTTTTCCATGTTTGCTTAAGTGGTTTGACTTGAAGTCAAAGGTCATTACTGCCCCTCCTCTTACACCCCACCCCTATCATAGCAGGACCCAACTTACGTAGGGGGAAGCTGGTGTTGGCTATTGGGAGACTGTTCCAAAAACATGTGTCAACATTAATTTCAAAATGCTCGCTACATTAATGGTAAATGTCTTAACATCAGGCTTCTCTCCTCCATGTGGATTCTATTGTAGAGCAAAATAGCAAAGTAAATGCCACTAGCTTTGCGGCGCTATTGGTGAGTGCCTGGCAGCAGCCTGCAGTGCGGATTATGAGTGGCCTTGCAGTTACTCCCATTTGTTTTGAGGAAAAGGTAAGCTAGATTATAATATATTAGCTATTATGAGACAGTGTTTACATGAGCTAATCATCTTCAAGTCTCAAAACTGATACAAAATTATTTTCAGGTTTTGACTTCACACCTTTCCTCTTGTTGAAATCTTAACTGTAGTGAAGATAGAATTTATGTTTATATTTTGGCATGATGTAGCTGGGGGGAGAGGCTCCATGCTTTTGAACCTTCTATTTGATTCTGCAGTTGTACAAGGCTTTCATCCTTCCCAGCTTAGTGAAGAAGGAAAGAAAGGGCTTGAGTTTGGGAATGCAAATTAGGGGTTCTGTGGGAAGTCCTGGCTGAATTGCCTGTGTTCTAGAAACAGTGTTGTTACCCTCCCTGTGGTGCTCAGCCTGGGGCTGTGTGTGCCAGGCTAGTGCTCTACTGTTGAGCTACATCCTCAGCTCTCTGTGCTTTTCATGGGGCAAGGCAGTGTCTTTTTGAAAGGTAGTTGAAGCTGGTAGGAGAGGAACGAGGCTTTAAGGAAGATTAGCTTGCATTCATCACCACATACTCTGGCAGAAACCCTTTTTGTCTATGTTGGCAGTTCCCAATGAAGCTATCCTCCAGTTCTCTCTGAGCAGAATTGCTGTGGCAAAAATACTACTTTTATATGCTGGCTCTACGTGTTAATAGTCTTCCAAAACCAAGAAAAACCACTGTCAGGAGCATAACATTGACACTGTGAGGGGTGACAGGCCTACCCTAGCTGCCTGTGTTACGACTGAGAATTCGCAAAAATTTGTAATTTATACATGGAGAACAGAGGAGTGAAATCCTTTTTATAGCAGAGAAGCTGTCTGTTTTAGGAACATTTGTGCAAAATTTTTTTTTTTTCCCCTTGAGGCAGGGTTTCTCTGTGTAGCCTGGGCTGTGCTGTCCTGGAATTCAGTCTGTAGATCAGGGTAGCCTTGAACTCAGGGATCCCACCTGTCTTTGCTGGAATTAAATTCAAATTCATGACAAAAACTTGTTTTGTTTTTATTCAGCAAGAAGCAGTTTTATCACTTAAGGATTCTAGACCCACAATGCTTAAGGATGCTTCTGGCATTCTTGACTTAGACTCTCTGATTTAATACACTTACTGATTTGATAGTCTTATAGACAGAGAGCCTGTAGTGAAAGCAGTGATGGTCTAGTCAGCCACCTGTCAGTCTTTTATGGTCTCAGACTTTGGAGACAAGAAAATTCTTTAGAATAGTTTACTTGCTTTCCTTCATACAGTGAAAGCCACCAAAGCATGTCAGTTTTAATGACAACTTTACATGACAGTTTTGACAGTTGATGTTTATTCAGAAGTGAGCTTGGCCTCATTTGCCCCTATACCTCCACAGCTGGGGATTGTTAGATCCCTTTAAAACTCAGACAGCTTCAGCTGACCCATGGGAAGAGAAGGAGTTTGTTTCTTCTCTTTGTGAATAGCTTTACATGAATAAATTATTGTAGAAGTAGGTGTCGGTTTGCCTGTCAAGTCAGTGGCACTAATTTCACAAAACTAATGTGATAAATTATTGTATCAAGTTCAGTACAAATGTCTATGAACTCTAAGCTATTTCTCCAGCTACATTAAGTTGTTTTTGAGACACATTCTACTGTATGTTAATTAAAGGACTCTTTATTCTGTGTATTTTTTGTCTTGGCATAAGGAAGCTTTATGCTTTGAAAGGAGAAGGAATGTTATGGAGTTGTGTTTGGTTTTTGTTTTTCATTGTTATTTCACATCTCTTAATCTGAACTACTGGATTTTCTGAAGAACTAAACAGCCAGCTATTAACATCTTTAAAATGTTTAATTTTAATTTTCATTTGAAGAATCCATGGATCATTAGGACAGTGAAATGTTTCTGATATGAACAAAGCAAATGAGTCTAGTACTCAGTGGAGACCAGAAGCAGTTTGCTGGGCTAAACCAGGCCTGTTTAGTTTGGGGAATTGTACCTAAAGGTCTCCCTGTCCACAGAGAAACTAGTGTTACTTGAAGATATGAAAGTTCCTGTGGTAGCCATACCTTGAAGCACAGTGTTGTATATAAGTAAATACCTGATTCTAAATTAAATCCAGATTTAACTAATATATATTATTTTATATCTTTGTTGTATTAAAATGTTTTAAAACACTAAAAATAAAACATTTGAAAGTTGATGTGTGCTTTCTTGTTTAAATATCCTTGCACTGTTAACATACTGTGTCTTTAATGTTTCAGACAGAATCTTGCTATGTAGTGTGGTCTGTGCACTTCTTGGCTTTGACTTGCTGTTCTCCTACATCAGTTTCCTACTTGCTAGTCCTGTCATGTTTGGTGGGATCTTAATTATCATCCTCCCGCACCGCCATGCTTAAGCACATTAAAAAGGAAGTTAAATTACATTTCACAGTACACATGTGGAGGACTTGGTCACTGTTGTGACTCAGGAATTGAACTTGGGTTTTCAGCCGGGTGGTGGTGCACACCTTTAATCCCAGCACTCCAGGGGCAGAGACAGACAGATCTCTGTGAGTTTATTCACAGAGTGCTGGAACTAAATGCATGTGCCACTACTGCCCAGCAACTTATAGCATAATCTTTAATCTTTAACTTAGCTATCCATTGAAAACTTTTTATTTTTATTTTATTTTATTTTTTATTTCCTGCTGGAAAGATGGCTCAGAGGTTAAAAGTACTGGCTGCTTTTCAAGAGGTCCTGAGTTCAATTCCCAGCAACCACATAGTGGCTCACAACCATCTATAATGTGATCTGGTGCCCTCTTCTGGTGTGCAGGCATACATGCAGGCAGAACACTATACATAATAGTTTTTTTGTTTTGTTTTATTTGTTTAGTTTTTCAAGACAGGGTTCTCTGTGTAGCTTTGGCTGTCCTGGAACTCACTCTGTAGACCAGGCTGACCTTGAACTCACAGAGATCCACCTGTGTCTGCCTCCCAAGTGCTGGGATTAAAAGCATATGTCACCACCACCCAGCAATAAATAAATCCTTAAAAAAAATAAAAAAAAAAAGAAAACATTTTTTCAGTTGTTTTCCCTGACCACCTGGGAAAGGCCAAGCCTTATTTAGTCCTAGGGAGAGTTGAAAAGATTCACTTGCTTGGTGTGTTTTCAAGTTCTGTGAGGATAATGCTGCCCATCTACCTGCCAGCATTGTTGACTGTCCATCTTTTGTTAGGTATTCCAAGAACCCAGACTTACCTGTTCTGGGTGGAGGACTGACTCCGTTTTAGCTGTGTAGGGTCAGAGATAGAAGATATGTGAATGTCAGGTACCTTGAAGGTGGTACTTCAAAATTACATCCTTGTCTTCAGGAATCTTCTAGATGTAGCTGTTTGAAAGATAAAAACATCACTGATGTTGGCAACTAGTAAGTGCCCATGGTCCTGTAGGTCTCTCCTGGACACAGAGACCAAGGACTGGTGTGACTGCTGCCTCATCTTCACTTGCCATCTTGCTCAGAGCCAGTAAAGGCATTAAGTAATAGCAAACATGGCCCTCCACTCCTCACTTTGCCACTTCATAAAAAAATCAATCAGTTGCTCCCACCTTTCTGGAGGAGTCCAGTCTAGAATAGTATACTGCTTCCTTGCTTTCGAGAATTAAGATCACATCACACATATGTAAGTCCTATACAGTGGACCTTCTTTATTTTTGCCCTCCGTTCCTCAGTATTTAGTCTCTCTCTGCAGAAAGTTTATAAAAACCTAACCTGTTTGGCTAAGGTGTGCCCTGGTAATCTTGGCTTGGCAAGTATTGACATTTTAGATAGCCAGGGTGCTAGAATCAAAAAACAAGTAAGTAGAAGCCAGGTGTGGTGATGCATGAAAGGTTCAGGCATTATGTTGCCCTGCCCCTGTTAACTGGTGGAACAGGCAGTACCCTGGTCAGCCCAGGGTTTCATGGGAATTAAGCCTGCACGCAGAGGACCCCTTTAAAAGACAGATCCTGCCCATTTATGCTCTCTCTTCTCTTTTCAACACTCTCTTCTCTTCTCTGTCTGCTTCTGCTTCTCCTCTCTCTCTCTCTCTCTCTCTCTCTCTCTCCTCTCCCTCTACTCCCTCTCTCCTCCCCCCCCCCCCCTTCCCCCCCCCCCTCTGAGACTGACACTTCTACAAGTAAGTAGAAGCCAGGTGTGGTGATGCATGAAAGGTTCAGGCATTATGTTGCCCTGCCCCTGTTAACTGGTGGAACAGGCAGTACCCTGGTCAGCCCAGGGTTTCATGGGAATTAAGCCTGCACGCAGAGGACCCCTTTAAAAGACAGATCCTGCCCATTTATGCTCTCTCTACACTTCTCAACACTCTCTACTCTTCTCTGTCTGCTTCTGCTTCTCCTCCCTCTCTCTCTTCTCCCCCCCTC